TGGACACCGCCTGTAAAATGTGGATTTAACTGTTAACATTTATTTTCTTTGTAGCTGATAACGAAAACTCCTAACAAAAATTTCCGGAAATGCATTTTGGAACAACTAGGCAGGATTCATGTTTGTTGTTAGCGTCTGTAATTAAATACGATATACGACATCAGACTGATGTCGAGACACGGGCCAGAAGAGACAGAACAGTTCCGTCTAATGCAAGAACGTAATATAACACTTGTATATCTCTCTGTTCATCGCCATATTTTGGTCTGTACTTATGCTCTGTCAAAATCAAGCCAATTGCTCTCATGAATATTTATTGTTAACTGTGTACACTGATAGCCCACTCTATGATTTACGCCGCATCTTTGTAATAATTCGAGGTGCATGAATTTTGGCATTCACTCTGCAATTAATGTGCAATCTACCTCATTAGTCATGAAGTTCTATTTATTCTCGAATCTAATTTTTCCCAAAAGATTTGTTCACGGTGAGGAGGTTTCGTGTGGCCCGTCCTTTGAACCAATCAGTTCCTCTCAGCTTGGTGTTAATATAGTTATTTAGCAATATAAGTATTGAAGATTTCAATGCCGAATTGTTTTTTATTTATTCACTCACTCGTTTATTTAAAACTGTCAAATATTACACATGCTGGTTCAAATATTATCAAAGATACGTTGCGTTGCTTCTTAATCCTGAAAAATGAGAGTGATACAGAACTTTTAAAAAGATCGTGTTCAATAATGAGAAATCAGTCGCACCGAGATAATTCCTATAGAGTTGTCGATCTTTTCGTTTAATTGAAAGAAACGGCGTGCTACATATAAGATACATAAAGGACGTCAAGAAGCATAAAGTTTTCATGGTGAATTTTTCCAGTAGCTTAGGAATGGGAGTGATAAGAAGTTCACATACACACTCATAAAATTAAAAAATGAACCGTTTAAAACATCAGAGTGGATTTAACACATTATAACAGATTGCTTTAGTATAGTGTGTTACAAAGACACATGCAGTGAAGCATTGTGACATGAAACTTCTAATTTGAAGAAAAATGTTGAACAACAATAACTAATAATGCATATTACCTATTATCTATAGCATAATATTAAGCATTTTTATTAATTGTATCAGAAAATATAGAAAAAAAGAGAAAATAGTAATGTTGCAGAAAGATTTCGATTTTAATAAGTGAAACAAAAAATTAGTAAAGAAAATTCAAGTAATAACACTTAAATAATAATTTGATACAGTAATTTAAATTACTATTTTCCTATCCGCACAAACATTTGAAATAAACTGCGTAGCCTCCCAACATGTGAAACGTGTCTAAAATTCCATTAGATACTCAGGAATTTGGGAAACATTTTAGTTTATTATTCCAGTATTTCAGTTTATTATTCCCTCCTTTCCTCACCGACTAACTTCGCATACTCAGTGCGCCACTGCTGACAATACAGCTGACGTGTGTGACGTTTATTGACGAATATTGTGACGTTTAGTTCGGCTCACTACGGAACTGTTGTGATGGCGCAAAAATCATTAACCCATTTTGACCGCCAAGTTTCCCCTACCCTGCCTCGCATCCACTAAACCGTCGCTCGCCTCGCCGCCCCCCAGATTGAACGTTGGTGGCGGCGGCGGCGTTACTGTGCTGATTATCAACTCCAGTACTTATTTTAATTTATAATTGTGATCATTTTG